ATTAACTATATATAACATAAAAATCCTGCTACTACGCTTTCGCCTTAGCAATGTTGGCTGACTTTTTAGCTTTTTTAGCCAACTTTTTGATATGCTCGCTCTTGTCCAGATTGTTCTGGAAGAAGGTGGTCTCCTTGCGGGCCTGAGACACTTCCGTCTGCAGTCGCTGCTTATGGACGGCCTGCTCATAGTTCATCCGCTCGGTCAGGTGCACCCACTTGAAGCGAGGCAAATATTTCATGCTCCACAGCGAGTCGAAGAACTGCGACTTCTTTCGAGTCGAGATTTGCTTGTTGTTCAGCAGCGGCACAATCTGCTTGGCCACACGTTTTGACTCGAACTCCACCCAGCCTTCGGTGAAGTGAATATTGTATTTCTTACGCTTGTTCTTTTTCGCCTTATCGCCTGAAAAGGGAATATATATAAATTATCAACAGAAAGGCAAGCGAATTGACACTCACCTAGCTTCTTTTCCGGCTGTAAATAGACGCGTCCGATCTTGCCGAATTCACCGAGTATCTCGCGCAGACGTGTCACATTCATGTGCTTTGGTATATTCGAGATATAAATGATTCCCTTTTTGCGCTTCTTGGTTTTGGCGGTTTGTTTAGCTCCAGCATTGAAATTGGCCAAATCCATTTCGTCGTCGTCTTCCTCCTCATCGTCTTCTGTGTTGGGTACAATGGAAACTGGCTCTTCTACATCTTTTGCCTTGGTGTCGTTCACTTTGGTTGTATCTACTACCATGTCCTCATCGCTATCCAATTCAATGGGCTGCGATTCGGACATTGTTTTTAATTTTTTCTTCATTTGTTTTCAGTACAAAACGTGCGCACTGTGTGACCGTGTTCGCATTATGTGAAAATCATACATATGTAATGTAGACCCACTGCTAATAACATTTAACAGAATGATAATACCCCGACGTATTCGAAGTTAACAGCCTTACGTGAAACTTTAAAACTTCGATAGCTCTACTTCGATATAATTAGGGATCAAGTATTCCCGCATTAACAGAAGTGCTTTTGGTAAACAGAAAACAATTGAATTTAGTTGTTGTTTAGTGTTCGTATTCAGCTGATCGCAATCATTGTAAAATGCCAGTAAGTAGTTAAACTGCCACAACTCCTGTTGGTAATCGATAAGTAATAGTGATTATTTTTTCATTGTTACATTAATGTTGCATTCATTTAAATAATAAACATTATTAAAAATGCAATAGGCTTACCATTCTGAGATCGTGGAGTTCCACAGCAAGGTGGGGAACATGGCCATCTTGCCTCTACGCACCAAAGTACGAGGGCCAGCGCCCAGTGTGAATACTGATAACGACATTATCGATGAGTCACTTTATTATTTCAAAGCAAACGTTTTCTTCCGCACATACGAAGTCAAGGTAGGGCTGCAACAAAATAAAAACGATATAAGAACTAAATAAATCCATAAATAAGAATAAAATATATTTTATACATAATTGCAGTCGGAGGTGGACCGCGTACTTATCTATATAACGCTCTACATAACGGAATGCCTGAAAAAACTGGCTCGTTGCACGAGCAAGGATCAGGGACAACAGGATCTTTATGCCTTGGCTATTTCGAGCTTTGCCTTGCCTGGCGATGCCGGTTTTCCGTTAAATTCAGTCTACACCAAGCCAGACAATCCAGATCTAATGCGTGAATATTTGCTGCAGTTGCGTCAGGAGACCGGCTATCGCTTGCTAGAGAAGGTCTTCGACACATCAGATGATAAGCCAAACAAATGGTGGATATGCTTTGCGCGCAGAAAGTTCATGGAAAAAAGCCTTTCCGGTCCTGCATAGAAAAATTTAAAAATCGACTGTTAAATCAATTTGAAGACTGTTAGAATGTTGTTGCAGCCTGGCTGCATGCTGCGGCAGTGTTGATAAATGTCTGCGTAAGTGGGCGCCAATTTTAAACAAATACTTAAAAGACAGTGTATAATCAATTATTTAAATATAAATATATATATATTTGTTTTTCTTTATTTCCAAGTTGTTTTATTTCACCGTATACAATTAAGCATACTTGCAAYATTTTATAGTTGTGTTACAGATTGTGCGAATTTAAGCAAAATCATTTTGAAAACTGTTAAGATTTTGCAGCCCTGTTGCATACCACAACAGCGCTGTTAAGCCTCTAACAGTTGTAATTTGCAATTTGAAGTCAAACTTATAACTGACAATGTATAATCATTTATTAAAATATAATTTGTTTTGGTTTTTTTTATCTAGTTGTTTCGTTTCGCTGAAAGCTTATTAACAGTTGACAATTAATAATAAACTGGCACACACGTAAAAAGCACGGCGGGCATAACTTAAAAATAATAACAAAAAAAAACATGAAGTGTGAAAAAAATATTACAGATATTGAACTTAAAAATAACGAGGACATTTAAACATTATAAGATATTAACACACGATTACAGCATATTTACAAAATACTTGGCAAGCAATTGGCCATCTTGACCTATTGAAACTCTCTAATAATCTCAACGACGCTCTGATAGGTGCCAGTGACAATGCCTAATATGGCAATAGTCAGGATGACGATATTCTTGAAGTAGATCCAGGTGCCTAGTCCCTTTGGCACCTGGGCACGGGTGACAAAGTCAATGATGATGGGTATGACAAATGCCAGCGATGTTGAGCATAATGCACCGATTAGAGAGATAAATAGATTCAATTGGGGTACAACTAGGGCGACGCAGACTGGGGAGTGAAGAGAWGAGAAGAGAGATACAAATTATATAGAAATTATGAACTCTATTTTACTTACAGGTCATCATGATCATGATGAAACGTAGCGCCACCTGCATGGTGATTGGATACTTTTGAGCGCAGCTATTGTTCCGCTTGACAGGGGGCCACAGGATCTTCATCATGACGAAGAATTGTATGGGATAGCCGAAGAAGACGCCCATAGCGGCCACCATTTTGACCACCTGTGACATGCTGTGAAACACAATACAATTATGATTGTTAGATATGGAGATTCTAGTGATTATTAGGGATTGGGTTGTCCCCCCATATACATACACATCCTCCACATCCAGATTGAGCGTGATGCTGCCCGCAACATCTTCGCCCCAGCGCACATAGCTAACGAAGCCCGTGAAGATGAAGAGCGATGTGATCAGCACCATTGTCACATTGAGCACACCGAAGCGACTGCTGAACTTTTCCGGCTCGCGCATCGAATTGCGCAGCGGCAGGATCAGGGCGATGCCCTCGTACGAGAAGAGAGCGGTGCCAAAGAAGAGCGCCAGCTGGCTGCCGCCAGTGAAATAGTTGCGCTCCCTTACCGGGGGCATCGGGCCGCTGGTGAAGGCGATCGACAGCGTGGCAATCAGGCCAAAGAGCAGCGCACAATTGGCCAGCAGCGACACAGGTGAGATATATTTCAGATTTGTCATCAGGGATGGAATCATTGCGGGCAGCAGAGTGATCAGCATGACCAAACTCATGCTGATGTCTATGCCATTCTGTTGCATCACCTGCAGATTAATTTAAAAATCACAATTAGTGCTGAAAAGCGATCAAGTGCTTCTGTTAGCGTGGCAGTGTTGGTAAACTACTCGAAATAATGAACTATTTGGATTTGAGCACAAATCAAACTGACAAATTATGAATTAATGAACTAAGTGATTTGTGGAAGAGCTCGCCCTCACCTGGTAGAGATTCTCCGTGATGAACACAAAGTAGATGGCACAGAAGCCAAATTGCGTCACACAGAGAAACATCTCGACAATCAGCTTCATGGCGCGCGACATGCGGCGCAACGGCCGCGGTCCGTACTCGAAGCACTTCTCCACGGTCTCTGGATAATCGTAGAAGGTGGCGCCAGGCGTTTGGGCGACGGCCAGCAGAGAGCCGCGTATGAGCAGCCGTTCGCAGTGGACGCACATGATCGCAATTATGGGCAGCATCAAAGTGGAGCCAATGAGACCGCCATTTTTAAAGCAGTCGCCCATGGCGAAGAGGCCGGCGCCGACACTGCCCTTGAAGAGATGTGTGGCCGCCTCCAGATTGCTTGTGGCATGGCGACGCTTAACAATTGTGCTCTCCAGATCCTTTTCTCCACCCTTGGTGGCATTTTGATGCTGCTGCTGTTGTTGCTCCGGCTTGGTTATTTCCAATGTTCTGCCCATATTGCCAGCTTCGATCACCTTTTCGTTATACACTTTCTTCTGCAAAATTTAATTTAATTTAACCGATTTATTTTTAATAATTGCGATTAATATTCAATTATTTTCAGTTGCTGCGCTTCGGCTCCAGCGGCGCAATTTAAACGTCAAAGTCAAATGCAAAAAAAAAGGAAGGCGAAAAAATGCGAAAGTTTCAAGCAGAGCAAAAACAAAGTTAACGGTGTCTTTGGATTGGAGGATAAGTGATCGAGTGTGCATGCGAGAGAGTAAGACTGGAAGCGGGAGTGGGAGAGGGAGAGCGGGCGTGAGAGCATGTTAGAGAGCGTAAGTGGGGCAGGCGCTATGCTAACTGTGCACCGACTGCTGTTAACCCTAGAAAGCCGGCCGTTTTGATACTGCTTTCAATTTTAAATGGGCACTCAAGGGCGAACAGATATTTTAATCAGTGGTTCGCACGTGTCTTAAATTCACGTTATTTATTTTTCACTTTTTCCATAGCACGATATGAACACAAGTACTAATTTATATATAATTTAATAATAGTTTGTGTGGAAAAAACACTTGAACTACAAATTACAGCAGATAAAAATCTGTATTAAAAAAAAAAAAAAACAAAAAACAAAACAAAAATATAACAAAACATTGACCTATTGTGCTTAAGTGCTAAACGTTTCGTAGAACTTCTAATAGAGGTGTTAATTATGGCTGAACTTCAGTTAAAACTTTGATTACAATACGGTGTACATACATATATACATATATGTATATAGTATAGCATATTTATGCAATTATTGCAAACAACGCAAACACTATAATTCAATGAGAGTGCACTATGGGCATTCGATACGTAATATCTCTGGATTCAATTAAGCAAATATTGGCAAGAATGATAAGCTACCAGCCAATCGAGTGCAAATCATTATAATAAATCACAAATCATTTTAATGCTCCAAGTAAACGAAAAAAAAAATTAATAATAATAATTATTATTATTGTTATAATGTTTATATTTTACTTTTAATATGTGCGCGCGCGTTGTGCGATTTTCCTAATTTTCGAATTTGGTTTTGTTTATATTTTTTTTAGAAGCGTGTTGACGCGCCAAGAACTCAAACCAGACTCAATTCATAATATTATTCGAATTGGCTAAGAGCAGCGTATGAAATAGTCAGGCAAAGCGACGACGACGACGACGACGTCGGCGACGGCGACGGCGATGACGGCGACGGTGATTGCGACTGCGACTGCGTCAGCTGCTCTTGCATATGTAACAGTATTTCTATGAGTGTGTACGTGCGCGCGCATGTGTGTGTTCCTAATGGTTAACGGCATTTTTGCTTTCATACCTTGCACTTAAGGGCAAGCGCCTGCCTCGGCCTCTGCCTCTTTCTCTGCCTGCGCCTTCCTCTTCAACTTCGCCTCCCTTGTTCTCTTGCTCTCTCCTGCGCGCAAGCTCTCTCAGCACAAGCGGCAGCCCTGTTATCTTTGTTGTTGTTATTGCTTGCTCATCTGTGCGGTACTTTTTACTTTTTTTTACTAACTTTATTTTTGTTGTTTTTGCTTTTGTCTTCTTATTTTATTTGTATTTTGGAATGCAATTCGCAAATTGAAATTTTGAATTGTTTTGATTGTTCTGGTTTTGGCTTTAAGAACTTTTTTCTTTCTTTTGCCTTTTCTTTCATTTAATTTGTATCAAAACTTTGGAAAGCTGTTAAAATCGGTTTTAGCCAGAGATTTGTAGACCTTTATCGCTAACTTTTTGCTTTCAGCATTGAGCGCACTTAAATAAACTAAAATAACATAAATTAAATTTTAATTAGGTTTTCTAGTTTGCTTGCCACATTTTAAATCTTCACGTGCTCCTACCGCGAGTCTAGTCATAATGATTTCTAAAAATATTACAGGAATTTTTGCACTTACATGAACATAAAATAATGTGGGAAAATTATAAGTTATTTATTTTATTAAAAATTTTTTTTGGTTGATTTATATGAACGAATAATTTTTAGAAACCAAAAATTTCAAGGCTTTGTGCGAACGTGTTTTAAAATTGAACTTCAGTAACCTTTTTTTTTTTTTTTTTTTTTTTTTTTATTTACTTAGTGAAATTCAAAATAAATTCAATTTAAGTATGAATACAAATCACGTATTTTGTATTTTTTGTACTCGTTCTTCAAATTGAACCGAGTATATTCGTTTCTAGACATGTCCGTCTTGCATCTGCCCGTGCTTCCGTTTGACTCTCCGTAAGAATAAAAGTCATTGAAGCTAGAGACTTGAAAATTTAGAGCACTACCCCCGATTCATCTGCAGGGGCGTGGCAAGTGGTCTCCTATCCTATCCTATCAGTATGTAAATATGTATGCTGACAGTTGGTTGGATTTGGGCTCTATTGAGCAATTTATACCATACGTAACTAATATACCCGTTTTCGAGCAGGCATCCCAAGCCGTTGTCTGAACGGAAAGGAAGTGATTCCATACAAGTTGGCAGAGGGCTGTGTTAAATGTCAATTAAAGTGGAACTGATGCCAATTACACGTCTCTGGCTCAAGGATGTGCCGCACAATGCGGCGTATGCGCAATTTATGCACGTGCCGTTCGGGCAATGCTGCTTGCTGCTGCTACAAAGCTCATATGATATGGCATGTGCATGACATTAGACCGAATTCTTGGCCGTGTGGCGACTGCATGCCAGCTGGAAAGGCGCATCGAGCTGCTGATTGAGCAATCGGCGATTGATACACCTGCCCAACTGCCTCGCGCACTTGCAACGCATGGAAATTTACAACATTTAATTGATTGATTGACTTGTTGTTGTTATTGTTGTTTGTTGCGATTTGTTGTTGCTGTGGCTGTTCCAGCTGTTGTTGTTGTTCTTGTGTAGCGCCAGTTAAATGAATTGCACGGAATTCATGAGTTGGCTTTTCTGACAACAATTTCGTCGTCCATGCACAGATATACATGTATGTACATATGTATGTATGTGGCGCATATTGATATGAACAATCAATGCAACATGGGAAACGAGCCAATCGAACGATCGATCTATCAATGTTCGCGGAATTGCACAATTGGATTATATAAGCCAGGCAGCGAGCCCCGCCAGCCCAAATGCTCAACGGAAGCAACTGCAGTCACCCATTTCGAGATGGGCAAAGATCTTACAAAGTATCGGTAGCGAAAAGATATGACTACAATTTCACGACATATCAAAGCTCAAACTAGTATATATTTGAGATCTATTTGGGATATATTTATTATATATTTAGTATTCAATTAGTATATTTATGGAGTGATCCACCAATCGATCATTTAATCAGGTTTTCAATTATGCTATCCATCGGTCGATCTGTCAATCAAACCATCAAGCAGTCACTTATTCAATCAATCAATTCGTCAAACAGTCAGTCTCACAATATATCAGCCAATATAATCCAACAAATTCTTCAATGTGTATAGATTTCTGATCAGTCCAAAAATCGATCGGTCAATCAATTAACTCATGAATAATCAATCAATCAATCAATCAAATTAGCATAACAATGAGCCATTCAATCAATCGAAAATTCTTCATATAAATCAATACACCAATCATTTTATTAGCTAACCAATAATTCAATCAGCCAGTTCAGCAGTCAATCAATCAATCAACTTCAATTTATCAGTAAATTAGCTAATCAATCGAATTACTCAATTGAGTAGTCAGTCAATTGTAGCAGTACATCATTCAATCACTTGAGTAGTCAGTCAATCTGATTACTTCATCATTCAATCCATCCATTACTTATTCAATCAAGTAGTCAATCATATGCATACAACATTCAATCACCCAATCTATGAAACTCTTCAATTCATATACATACAATAGATTTACGATATCTCTCGTGCACATGTTCCGGGCAATAAATATGAACACGATATTCGCTTAGGTCTATTGTCGATTCATCAGGTTTCACATGGCTTTGGGCCAATTCGAAGGCCGCTGGGCGTGCGCTGAGCAATGTCGAAACGGTTTCGATTAGATTGATTTAGTTTCGTGCGGATTAGATTAATAAGAAATTCTTTGAATTCGTCACACGTTTGATAATCGACGACAATAAAAGATGATTGCAACTGTTTACGATTGCCTAGATGGCTAACTGTATAATACCATACATATTTGTAAAATATGTCACTATAGATCTACATATATCTCTAGCTATATCTTGGAACATGAAATTCGAATGAGATATTGAAATATATTTTGATGCGGTTCGATAGTATCCTTCTTCAAAACGTAGTTACTCGTAAAACTCTATTAGGTGCACGCGTACAATCCGTCGAGTCTATGTCTAGCCAATTCCAGTCCATAAACACTTTTATGGTGTATTTTCAGATAGTCGAAAATAATAGAAAAAGTTTGCAATGGGGCACTACTGACTGCATAATACCCGTCCGTTCTGGATATATTTGGTGCACAAATGTCGTCAGCAATATTTTACTTTTACCTTCAAATTGACTAATTGATATTAGAATTCATAGTTCTCTCTCTCTCTCTCTCTCTCCCTCTATCTCAGAGAGCAGATGATCTACAATAATAAAAAGCTGATCAGGTATACGCCATAGATCGATTTATATATCTCTCAATCTATGACTTGCTCAAATTTTCCAAGATTTTCACCCAAATAAAATAATTAAATATATGCTGATTTTTATGGGCTCTGAACCCATCATTTATTTACACTTATGAATTCTAAATTTATATATCAAACATATATGTTTATATATATAGAAAAAAAGAACTAAATTAAAAAAAAAAAAAAAAAAAGAAATTGTTTCTCGAGAGACAAACAGAAATTAAAAACTATTTCGCGGCACATGATTCATAAGTAATTGTCATATATCAGCATGGTCTCATATACCATATATTATATACCATATATCATATATCAGAAACATGGTAAATAGTAGTAGTAGTAGTTGTAGTACTCTGCCTACAATAGTATTTAGGGTTATCATATATAGGATACATATGTATGTGGGTGTATATAAGTTATATAATAATTTATTTAATTTGCTGTGGCACTGGTTGAGTGGGCGTCGCCTCGCTAGTGAAACTCCTCCTCGCCAAAGTGTTTGACAATCTGCTTGAGGCTCTCGTAGGAGCCGGTGAAGAAGCCCAACAGGGCCAGCACCAGGATGATTAGGTTCTTGAGGCAAATCCAAATGCCGGGCCCCTTGTTCGGTTCACTGCACGCGATCAGCTCGATGACCGGCGGAAAGACCAGCGCCAGAGCCGTGGAGCACAGAGCGCCAATCAGGGAGATGAATAGCCCCAAGGCCGGCACCAGCTCCGCTATGGCCACTGCATATGGATGGGAGAAGCTTGGCATGAGCACAATCTCCGTTCTTTGATCTCTTGCCTCTACTTACACGTCACGAGCACCAGCAGACTCCGGAAGATGAGCTCCCCGGCCAGCGAACGACCCTCCATGCCGCACACCTGCTTGGCGCTCGGCCACATGATCTGCACGGCGACAAAGAACTGCAGCGGATAGCCGAGGAGTACGCCCATGGACACCATCAATTTGACCGACTGGGCCAGGCTATCGGCGTGCGAAAGAACAGAATATCGTATGCGATGTTTAGGGGAGCTGTCTAGGGAATCCAAGCTGAAGATGGGCGCGTGACACGAAGGGAATTTTGTGGAATTTTTAGATAAGCGCGTAAAGAGGTAAAAGTGAAAAGCTTGAGCAGGTTCGAATAGATAGATTGCTAGTTGTTTTAGATATTAAATATCGTATATGTAAAATATATATGATATACAAGATGAATCATATTCTGAATATAAATGTCGTAGCTTGTATAAATCGTACGGGTATGATGCACTATGGATATAGAAACCATATGAAATTCGAATCATATTATAAATTAAAATCTCAATTTCGCAAAAAATGAACATACGATAATTTCCCAGGAATACGACGATATGATGACTCTGATATCGTACGTGGAATATACATATACTTGAATCATATTCTGGAAATAAATATCAGACATTGTATATATCGATCGGACACGATGCATCCTAGATATAGAAATCATATGAAATTCGAATCATATTTTGGATTCTAACTAGTTTTGTCATATAGGTCGAGTTTGATATCTAATAGATATTGAAAATATAAGTGGATATCATCTTGTAAATATATATAGAATAGATATGACAGAGTCTACCAGAATTAACTCAAATATGATATTCCATTTACAGTAGAATGCCGATAATTCGAAATGTCAAAGGGATCAGTTTTTTTTTTCGATTTACACAGAAATCCAAATTATCGAGAATTATTGAGAACGAATTTCATTCAAAGAAATATAATTTTTTCGATTTATCGCGATTTTCGACTTAGCGGGGTACTCATAATCGAGACTCGACTGTATATTCAATATATATTGAAAAGATATCATATCGTAAATATATATCGAATAGATTGTATTGAGTAATATTTTCTGAATTTCAGTTTTTGAAATAGATGAAAATCGAGTAGATACTTCGGCAGATATAGAATAGAAATTATGAATGGAGTATATTATCGTAAATAGATATCGAATAGATGCACAGTATCGAATGGATAACGTGATAATATATTAATAATAAATCATCTATTCAAGTGGATGTGAATGCTATTGGGATTCTGTAAGGGATTACAGATCGAATAGATCAAGCATATATCGAGTAGAGTATATTCTTTTGTACTCCTGCTCAAGCTTCACTTTAGTTTCAATTGTGTTGCCGATAGTGTCCGCGGCACTCGTGAGTCACGCGCCCATCTGCAATCTGTTTGGGCGGGGCTTGCTCACATGGTATCGCCGAGATTGAGGGTCAGACTGCCGCCGACCTGCTCGCCCCACTTCATGTAGCCCACAGATCCGGCGAACATGAACATGACGGAGACGAGAAACATGCCCACATTGAGGACGCCCAGCGTGCTCTCAAACTGGCGCGGCTTGCGCATGGCATTCTTCAGGGGCATCACCAGGGCAATGCCCTCGAAGGCAAAGATGGCGGTGCCGAAGAAGAGCGCCAGCTGGGAGCCGTTCGTCCAGTAGGCGCGTTCCGTCACCTCCGGCAGGCCGTCCTTGAGGGCGTAGTAGAGGGTGATGGCCAGGCCCAGGATCATGCACACGTTGGCGAACAGCGAGACCGGTGTCAGCCACTTCAGGTTCGTTATCAGGGAGCTGAGCAGCACGGGTGCGAGGGCCAGCAGCATCACCAGATGCACGTCCATGTCAATGCCGTACGCTTGCAGGATCTTGTGTGGCGGGAAGGCAGGAAACCATCAGCAGCTGTCGCCGACTGAGCACCAACTCCGGCACTCCGGGGCACTCACCTGCTTCACGTTGGTGCTGATGAACACGAAGTAGATGCAGCAGAAGCCCAGCTGGGTCACACAGATGAACACATCGACCAGGTGGCCCATGGTGCGCGACCAGCCGCGCAGCTTGATCGGCCCATTCTCGAAGCACTGCTCCACAGTCGCCGCATAGTCGGCGCAGACGGCGTCGCCGCGCAGATCGCGCATCTTCTTCGAGCAGGCGATCAGCACGTGCTGGCAGTGGATGCAGATCACGGCAATCACAACGGTGAGCACGGGGCCGACGATCAGGCCGCCGTTCTTGAAGGCATCGCCCATGGCGAAGAGTCCGGGTCCGATGTTGCCCTTGAACAGGTGCACAATTGTCTCCAGGTAGCTGCATTTGAATGAAGTCATGCAAAATCGATCAACGATACCACCACAGATGATTATCGGGTATCGGTAGTCGGTTATCGGTGATCAGTATTTAGTACGGGATTAGCCAGGACTGGGTTTATCCGAGATTCGCACTGCACACTTAAGCTTGTGGGCTGCTAGCATGCAATATCGATAAACGATAACACACATAACTATTGGTCTAGTCACTGGGAATAGGTTTAGCCGGGCGTGGGTTAAGGCGGTCACTGAACTTCACACTTAAAATTTAAGTTAGCTGGGGTGTTATCAGCGCAAAACCGATAAGCTATCGCTTTTTGTTATCACATACACAATTTGTTATCGGCACAGTAAATCGGTATAGAATTAGTTGGGATTAATACTGTAGTGCACTTAAAATTATGGTTAGTCAAAGCTTGAAGGTAAGCGAAAGCTACTTTTCTAACATGGAAAATCGATAAGCGATAACACATGCACAATTATCGCTTCAGCGGCTAAATTGGGATTTCTAGTTCACACTTAAGCTAATTGTTGTAGAAGGTGAAAGTATAGACATGAAAGCCAGTCAGCATGCATAAGCGATAAACGATAACAGGCGAGATTATCGATGCAGTCATTCGATATATGAAAAATCAGAAATTATCAGAGCATTCAAAGTCGATAAAAGATAGCGCAAATAATTTTTGGCTTTGGATAAAATAGGCAAACCCTCAAAATTATTTTTAGTTTTGGTTAGTTTGGATTTGTTATTAGTATTATTGTGATTTGGGTTGATAAAGGTTTTTTTTTTTTTTGGTTTTGGTTTTCTGGGTTAGTTCACATGCATCCAATTTGTTGAGTTTATTTAGGTTAGGATAGGGTAATATAAGCCTCTCGTTAGTTTGGATTTTCTTTGGGAATTCGTTAGTACGCTTCTTCTTCTTCTTCCTTGTCCATACCTTGTGGGCGGATGGTAATCCTCATGGCTGCCAGCCGCTGGCTTTGCATCGGTTTCGGCCTCAACTGGTTGGCCTTCGTTCTCTGGCGCCGTCAGCTTTGAATTATTGGAGCTCATAGTACTTTGGTTGCCATTGTTGGTGGCTATGGTTGTTGTTGTTGTTGTTGTTGCTGTATTCTGTGGGATGCTTGGTTCCTTTGTTTTATGTTTGATTACGGCACAAAGTTTGAAAAGATAAAATCTGTGCTTTAAAATGCAGTCTTCAATTGGTGAAGTAGGAGCAGGAACAATTTTTGGGATATATTTTTAAAGCAACCAAATTCGAGGATTTTTTGTTAAGATTTTGGGTTGAGTTTTTTAGTTCAATAGGTAAGGAATGTTTTGGTATAGCAATATAAAGAGCTTAGACTAAGTTGAGCTGAAAATCAATAAATCTATGAATATTTCTTAAATTATTGTTTATATGCTCGAAATCATATAGGAGTTACTTAAGCAATTATTATTCAGCTTAAAGTTAATATAAACACTTGATGCATCTAGGGAATGCAATGTAATTCCCCAATGTATGCAAATATTCTAGCTTAAATCTATTCATATACACACATACACATACAAGCATATACATACGTATACATAGAATATTACTATGCTTCCTCTTCCTATATAGAATTATTACATGATTCTGGCTTACAAATCATTATAAATGCTGAGCTACAACCTACTAAATTCTCTATTTGGGGAAAATATTCGGAAATTGACTAAAAATAATTAAAGCATTTGTCAATGCTAATTAAGCACTTATATATATTTGATTAAGTCTAGGCCATACCTGCCTATACTAGGCCTAKTCGAGCAACAACAACAAAAAGCTTGTAATTTGGATAACGATCGTGAATCATTATTAATTCGAGTTTGTTTTGCCTTAGAGTACGTGCGAACGTGGCTAATTAAAAGAATTGTAAATCACAGTACAGCCTGGGGGGGGGGAATTACCTGATTGTCTGATGCAGCGATATCAACGTTACAGTGAAGCATGCCCATGGCGAACGTTTTCCCTTGTCATGCAAACAATGCAGACTTGTATTTATACTCCCATGAATGGGATCGTAAATGATAAGAGATATGTATGAGCTCTACGCAATTGGAATTGGCTATAATTTATGACTCGATGAGTCGTAAATTAATTTGTTCGATTTCATTGAGGTTTTTGCATTGGCTCATAAAGTTTCCATTAACACGCTGCGAGAGCAGAGATTCGGAAAAAAACCAAAGCAAATTATTGGAGTCGTATAACATAATATAGTACATGAGCTACAACAGCAACTACTACTGCAACAACAACCACATCACGTGTAGTACCAATGTATGCTAGCTATCAAGAAACAGTCTTGAATATAGTATTCTATACAAACTCAACCGGTTCGAAAACCCACTTTTCATATATTCAAATGAGGGACATGATTATTGAGGGAATAGTTTAAAATTAATTAATTAACAAAGCTGGTGGATGGGCTCGACTAGAATATACCCAGACTAGCGCTGATGTTCTAGATAATCTCAATGAAACTGGAAAAAGAGGATATATAAATAGCTGTGGGAGAGCTGATCAAAAGGAATCTCAGATATTGAATATCTAGAGAAACAGTTGAATATGATCAAAGAGATGAAGGGGAAAAGTACAAATTCATGATATACAGGCAGAAGGGGACGTGCTAGACACTATAAGGTATATATATATTCTTGATTAGGGCGACGAACTGAGTCGATTTAGCCCTCTTCGTCTGTCCGTCTGTTCGTATATGTGACTATATTGATCTCAGAATCTATAAGAACTAGAGACTTCAAATGGATTTTGTAAAGAGCTCAAGGGATCTCGTAGTCACTCACGTTTAATAGATTTTAATGGAATTTATTTTAGACTAATATAAAGACATATATAGACAAACTCAACTATTTAATTAGTGAATAAAATATGGGAAAGCTGTATGCAAATTAAATTTGTTTGAGGCTGAAGATTATAGAGATATAGAGAAATATAAGAATCTATAAATAAAATCCTATGCTTAAGAGTCTTTGAAGCAGACTCAAGACTGATTCAAGGCGAAATGAGAATATTTATTGATCTAAAAGAAATTAGATGAGGCATCGAGAAATTGTGATCAATTTTCACTGATTCTGACACATATGTATATATAATTCAAATATGATATTTTTAGCTTTACTTGTTTACGACATATGAACGAGGGAGTGTCAGGTGAACAGTTGGACAAATGAATCCACTGAACTTGAACTTGAACTTGAGCAACAATAAATATTTATGCTAGTTATATGAGATATTGACTATCCACTAGTGAAACTAAATACTCGCAGTGGCCAATGCCTAATGGGTATATTCAATTTCAGTTGAAAGAAAATAATGAAATCTAATGAAATCACACTTTATTATGGCTAACAGAATTTGAGATCTCCTCATTTGGCTCACATGCAAACCTATAAATCAGTTAGCTTGTATTTTGATATTGTCTAAATGGAATAATGGGCTTTATATATTTTAGTGGACCTCAAAGTGCAACTGATTGCGTGGCATATTTATTATACTAGTAAGAAACTCTCAACTTTCCAGATTAAACAAATATTCTTCGTGGGTTTCCAGTAGGAAATGCTATCAAATGTTATCAACGGAAATTTTCAATGGTTTCATTTTCTTTTTTTTTTTTTTTACTTCTGCCTGGGAACTTTATTTATTGATAATTGGTGCAAAAAATTATAAGTGAATTATTATAAATTAGTGTCGCTCTCTATATGAGATAAGCTGAGCGTGTGGAAGGCACTGAATCTGGGCGCCGATAATATGTGATAATACGTAATCGTAAGTGGGTTCAGCGATTGCCTTCAGTTGATTATGTGTGTGTGTGTGTAATATGCAGGTGATACAGATACAGGTGCCAGATAATCGGGCGCATACACATGTCTGAAACTGGGTCTCTGGCCCGTGCGGGGGACAACTTGCTATGGAAATCTAGACGGCAAATTTTTCGTGACTCTTATCGGCAGCTACGCAACAAAACACTTCAAAACAAACGGCATAAATTGCTGTTGTATTATTTTATTAGTGTTAATTTTAGTATTATTTGTTATTGTTGTTGTTGTTGTTGTTGTTGTTGTAGACGTTGTTTGGTTACTTCACATTTGTTAACGTGAGCTGCGTAGCACACCAACAGGAAGAACAACAAGACTTATCAAGTTAAGGAACCAGATATTGCACTTTGAGCTCAGCTCACCCACGCATACGATATACCCTGTAATTGTTTGAGCTACGTCGAGTGGTTCAGGCAGAATTTCTGTATTAGCCAAATGTTGAAAGCAAAGCTATTGATTGCATTTGATTTGATATGGTATGTAGGTATATGATTGTACATATATATGCATTATGATAAGTTTTAGCGGCTGAAACTACGTAGTAACTCTCTACAAGATCTTTATAGATATTATCATGTAGAGCATTTATAACTCTATCGCATTACTATCTTTATATGCCATGGCTTCGTTAATAATTGACAGATATTTTTATAAGAAAATAGTGCGAAATTCTTAGAATTTTTTGTATCTATTATATGTTATATGGATACATCATATTCTAAGATATTCTGCTCCAAAGTTTTTGAAAATGCTGCTCAAAAGTTTTATACTCTGCTTTTAAAAACGGGAAGGGTTGTCTACAATGTCTGTCTGTTTATATTTAAGCTAGGCTTATTTAATACTTTAAAATTCTCGAATGATTTATTCAACAATTTTCAGATATCTGCTGTAAAACTTTTGAAGCCTTTTTAATAACTTCGATATTTTGGCCTACTTTTTTTAAAGTTTTTATATAGTTCTAATAAGTTTTTGCATTTCTATTTGTGAGGCATTTTCAATAACAGGCTTTTGAAATGCAGGCTTTGAAATTCTTAAGCTGTCTTGTTTTTAAAATATATATTTTGACGAAATGTTTTTGGGCTATAATGACGCTGAATGAAACCTATAAAACTTAAAATATATTTTTTAAAATTTTAAAATATTTTTTATCAACAATTCAAGTTTGATAATAGTTGTTGCTAATAATATTTGTAATATAAGTATATTTTGTACTTTTGAAAGAGTAATTGGAGCTCGTCATGCCCACTATTGCCATTTATTCTGGTTGCTATTCACTTGAGAGGCAATGGCAGTCTGATTCAAGTCAATTCAATGGTCTTTCAGTGGAAATTTTCCATGCACGACAAGTTTTCCACAGCGATTGCCTCTGCAATGGCAATTACAATGCTCATGGACATGGAGTTAAGCAGGGGCTGGGGGAGCCGAGCCTTACTGCTTATAGCTCTATAATGCTTTATATTTGATAAATCAACTGTTAAAGACACGGAAGTGAGGCACGAGAGAACGATGCTCACTAATTGAAGGCCATATGAAATGCTGCATGTTAAATTTATACGAAGTCATTGCAATTTCGTGGCCATTCACTGATAAGTTGACACGCTTTCTTCAACTGATAAGATAGTTAAACGAAGTTAACTTTCATTATTTTCAGTGTAAAAAACACGTTTATCGCCTGAGTCTAAAAAATAATGGAAATAATAGCATTTTGGGTGGGATTTAATAAATATAAAACACCCCTAAAAATGTTTAATATCATAATAGATCATTGCTTTTAATAAGGAAGTAATACAAATCTAATATAGTAAATCCAGAAAGAGAAGTCTTTATATAGAGCTTGCTTTGAGAGACTATGAAATTGTTGAGACTTGTATAGTCTATTGTCATGAATTAATCACAGACTCACGATAAATTTTGGGTAGGATTTAAAAAAATATAAAACACCCCTAAAAATATTTAATATATCATTGCTTTTAATAAGGAAGTAATACAAGTCTAATATAGTAAATATAGAAAGAGAAGTCTTTATATAGAGCTTACTTTGAGAGACTGTATGAAATTTGTGAGGGTATTGAGACTTGTATAGTCTATTGTCATGAATTAATCACAGACTCACGATACAGATGGATTAGAGTGGCCCCATGGGACTAATAGAGACTCATAGTTATATTAGTTATATATTCTATTCGATTCGATATTTTGTAGTCGATAATCTTGAATCCATCCAAGACTTGAAATTCAAGTTGCGTTCAACATAGTTTGCAGAAATCATTGTCTATACTCTTATCAGATGGAATCATATTGACTCTATAAAGTGATTTGTATTGATTTTCCACAAATTCTTATCCGCTTCATTAGTGTCAGTAATTTTTGGCACTATTTCAAGTATTGGAGCATATATAAACATATATTTTGTGATTTTCGAATTTTTGACTATATTTTTAGATTCTCTATCTCTATTTATCTGTTCAGCTCAAGAGCTTGCAGTAATGTGTTGGCTAATGCTAAGTTGAAGTAATTTGACTAAATATATAAATATTTTTTATATATCAAATAGATATGCTGTTGAGCAATTTGTTGATTACGCACATCATTTTGAGTGCTTCAAGTATTTCTATCTTATATATGGGATATTCAGTTTTATATCCTGAAGACATTGCAAATAGTAAATCGGAGTGTAAAGATATTGTTGTTACCATTTCTTTAGTTTTACCCTATATAACTCTCGTAAGTTTATAATCATGAAGTAAATTTCTATACATATAGTATGTATGTATGTATATGACATACATTATATAATATATGCTGTTCGTACACAGTATACATATGGTATATACTTTTTCTTTCAGTGTAGTATTTTTAGCTATTTATAGCTCAAGAGGAAATTGGTCATTTGGAGTTATTTGATGTGAACCCCCTCTAAAAGGACGCCTCTGCTGCTACTGTGCAACAGCTGTCCTAGAGAGCAATGCTAACTGTTGCTGTTGTTGTTGTTGCTGCTGTTGTTTTTACAGCTGTTGCTGATGTGGTTGTTATTGTTGTTGCTGCTGCTTTAGCTGACTTTGCACTTGAATATGCATTTGTTAGGCGTGAGAAGTAAATGGAACTGGTTTTCGTTTTTTTTTTCTGCTGCTCGAAGCACAAAAGCAAAAACAAACAAAAATAATAAAAAAAAAAGTAATAATCATAATGAATGGGCCCACACTGATTTTTACTGATTCTATATAGTATGTATGTGTATGTGTGCGTGTGTATTTATGTATAAATATATTTGACACTCATTTTGAAAATCTTTTAACACACACGCACTGGCACAGGCACACGCACACTCACGCACACACACTTTACACACCTCTGCATCCATTTTGGCAGCCGCTGCTGTTGCTGTTTGCTGTTTGTTGTTTGTTGTTGTTTGTGGCTGTTGCTGTTTGTTGTTGCTGCTGCTGCTGCTGCTGTTAAAATTCGGTCAATGCACGAGCAGCGCTGGCAAATAAATGAACGCGTAATTTGGCAAATTCTTTTGGCGCGGCGTTTTTTAAATGATTTATTTTTATTGCCGTTTGCTGCTGCTGCTGCTGCTGCTTCTTCTTTCCACTTATTGTGCTGCTGCGGCGGCGGCGGCGGTGGCGTTGGCTGCTGCAGTTGCACTTGTTGCTATTAGCTGCTGCTGCTTCCTTATGTGTGTCATGTGCTATTGTTGTTGTTGTTGTTGCTGTTGCTGCGGCTCCTTCGCACTTTTGCGATCCTGACTAATGGCTCAGAACGTGGCGTGTGTTAATCGCTTCACGAAATCATCAAGACTGACGGCCCGGCCCGGCCCGCCTCACATAGGCGCTCTGTTGCTGCCGCCGTTGCTGCTGCCTTCTCGGCGTTGGCGTCGGCATCAGCGTCGCCGTCGCTGCCTTTCGGCGTTCGGACACTTTGCGCTGAGCGACTGCCGCCTCTGCCGCCTCTGTCGTTCTGCTCCCCCCTCAATTGTTTCACTCCCTTTCGTTCCGCTCGCTTTCCAAGTTCCAAGTTCCCCTCTGTTTGCCCAGCCGTCATGGTTCACACTCTCTCTCTCTCTTCCTCTCTTGCTCTCTTTCTCTCTTCCATTCTTGGCCAGCATCTGGCGCTTCCGTGGCTCATTACGAAAGTATTTTGTGACGTCGTCAATGGGAACGGAATCGGAATTGGAATCGGTTCTAATGTCCAACCGGTTTATTTATATTCATATATATATATTTTTATTCTTCTTCTTCTTCTTATTCTTCTCGTTCTTCATTTCATCGTGCACCCCCGCCTTAGGCAGCTGCGCAGTCGGGCGACCAATTGAGCGCCTGTCCAACAGGTTGTCACTCAGCCAGCCGACATGGCCAGGGCATCTGCCGAGACAGGGGGAGTGGGGGGCGGGTGGATCGTTGATGTTGTCGCAATTGCCCTACAAAAGCATGCAAGGTACACACACACACACACACACACATGCATGCATACACATCTCTCTGATCTCTAAATGTAAAGAAAGACTTTTGTTGTTGTTGAATGTAGAATATGGAATATAGAATATGGAATATGGAACTGTGGAATACTCTTAAGATCCCCAAGTGATCTGGCTCTTGTTGTTAGCCCTAAATTTGCCAACGCTTTAATTAATTTAATCGAATTACAGGGTATCTGGCAGACAGCGCAGAGTGCTCAACAAACAGCAATTGGCAGCAGCTCAAGCACACATGCTCGAGTATTCACGCCATCGGCAAATGATCTGAAAAGTTTGTCGATTGCTGTTGTGCTGGGGTGCTCGACGGGCGAGCGGCATAGGGAAGCGACTGTGCACTGGGTGGCTAGGTAGGGTGTTCGTGATTCGTGGCGGCAAGCGAAATGTGGAGCCTTTAATGAAGCAATTCGTTTATAATTTATTTTATTTTATTTTTAATGGAAAGGCCGCCTGTCTTTTGAAGAATTAAGATCCCGGCTATTTGGCGATGCACAAACACACACATACATATATGTATATATATATAAATATTACTATATACGTGTGTTGTTGTTGTTTGTGACAATGGCATTTAAGACTGTCGACGTTCATGAGCATAGTTCATATTTTAATTGAGAGTGAAGAGAGAGACAAATTGGCGCATTTCTTTGAGCGCCGTCCGTGTTGCCGGAGGTAACACTGTACGTGACCTTGAGCTGTCCACGGAAGAGGCTAAGGCTAACATGGAGAACTAGGAATGATCTATTTCTGGATTGTCTTAGCAACAATTAAGTCTCCATTAATATGACGAAGGCAAAGAATGGAAAGAGGAGGAGAAGAGGGGTGAATGAGTGGGGAAAGAGATAAAGACGAGGGATAAGGATTGTGAGAGAACAAAAAAGAGGGCGATGAGAAAATGAAAGCAAGAATGACAGCGAGAGGCTGAGAGAATTATAGGTGTGCAAGAGAAAGGGAGGGGCAAGAAGTGACATTAGTGACTTTATAGGTACAGGTACAGTAAGAGAGACGGACAGAGAGAGAAAGAAAGAGTGAGAAAGAGAGAGAGAGAGTGAGAGAGAGGAAGGGAGATAGAGAAACTCAGAGAGAGTGCAGTAGATAGAGAGAAAAGTAGGGTTAAAAAGAGACAGATAGAAAGAGAGAGAGAGAGAGAGGGAGAGAGACTAGAGGGACTAAAGAGAGAGATAGAAACAGAGAGAGTAAGAGTGAGAGACTGAGAGAAGCCTGAGAGAGACAGAGACAGTCTCTGATTGAAAAACAAATGAGTTGCAACCGGCTGCACGATAAAATATAGAAATATAAGTTAAACAGAGAGACAATTATAAAAAATTAATAAAAGAGAGAAACAGCGAAAAGATAGGAAAAGGAAAGAAGGGGGAAGGGGGAGACATAAAGAAAAGCGACATAATTACTCAAGGAGATGTAGACTGGCTTCGAGGGAGGTGGTAGAGGAAGCGAATATACATTATGGGAGCTAGAGAGAAAGAGAGGGAGAGAGAAAGAAAATGAAGAAATAGAGGACAAGGGAGAGAGCGAGAGGGCGAGCGAGATTGAAAGAAATATAAGCTACTTATTAATGTACAACAAATAAAGAACATTTGTTTCTATTACGATTTCTATTTATGATTTTGGATACTTGTATCAACATGATTGGCTTTCAGCTCTATTTACAGAGTAGGAAAAGTACGAAATGAATACTGCACAGTTCTGTCTTTAATTACACCTATTACACCTAATTAAACAATTTGTTTAGCGCTAATACTCAATTCATTCATCTTATATAAATAATCGTTGAGTTGAGCTCCAAGCAAGTGTAGGGTATTAAGTGGTACGATAAGCTCATGTGACACCGTGTATTTATTGTTGAGTGTGAAAAGTGAAATTGACATTAAGTGCAGCTCTTTGAAATACAACTCTGGAATAAACAAATGGAAATATACTAAAGAAACGCTAAAGAGGTAATTAATATATAACTTACATGCCCATGCTATGCATGTGTATAAAGGATGGGCGTGGCCAGTCATGCAGCTGAGTAGCAGAATCTATGATGAGTGAGTGACCAGAGGCTCTTGCAATGATAGATCCAACATTTATCATCTGATGAATCTTCCGCAGTCTTTAAGCTAAGATCTTGAAGTCAGCAATTATATAAGATAATACGTCTAAAATTATGGGATACTTGAGTAAGTTTAGACAGGAACGAGCATAATGAAGTCGGATCAAAAATTGTGTTGGAAGTGTGACAAACTTTTAGACAGCTGAAGAGGGCCTTTTGAACAAAAATTTTGGGTGAAGGGTATATACCAATTTACAAACTGGTTTAATGCCAATTTCACTTGCCATTTACATGCATATGTCTCTGATATACGGAAATATACACAAGTATACATACACATATACATATATATACAAGTGTATGTAATTATGAATTTGCTAAGGTTTAGCTAACACAATTGTTCTGAGTTTTATAATCTTGATCATGTTTGCTCTTACCTATTATAATATTATATATTTAGTATATTTACTTGTGTTTATATATAGTAAGACACAGTTTGCTTAGTTGGCCTCCTTCTGCATGCTGGTCTAAAAGAAAAGAAAAGAAAAGAAAACATGCAATTAAAATGTTTTGCTTTTTGCCATTGTTTCTATATGGTTTGCTATGTATAATATTATTATTAACTGTTGCTCAGCCGTAAATACATATATGTGCGCTATGCTAACTATATACTTACTATCTATCTTACTTACTATCCATTTCACACTGCTGCGGCTTTCGTTCTCTGCAGATGATGTGAGCGTGACTCACGATGTCGAGCTTAATTTTGATACCTATTTTTTCTATTTCAAGTATTTTTTATTTAAGTAAGAGCTTACTTATTTTAACTAATTAATTTGAAATATTTATGAGTATTTTTGAATAAAATCAGTTTCAGCTTGAGCCCAAATGGTTGAGTTGACTGAGAGTAGCAGTAAACCAGACAGGATATGATGTGTAAACAGTCAATGTGAGTATGGCAAATTATCAAAGAAAACTATACCTAGAAGTAAAATATTAATTAATACGTATAGCTCGATGCATAAAGCCAAAGAAAACTTTTTCATTCCAGATTAGTTGTAGAGCATTGGAGATCTATGCAGACCTGTGCACTCCGATCTATCGATCTGATTTTATCCTCATATATATACAGGTCTATACATATTGATCTATACATATTGATCTATACATACTGATCTATACAGATCGATCCATGATGATCTATAAAAATCGATCAATTTATACATACCGATCTACATAGTGATCTATACTTATCGATCCATACATATCGATTTACACATATTGATCTATACATATCGATCGAAACATAGCGATTTACACATACCGATTTACACATATTGATCTATACAGATCGATCCATAACGATGTATACAAATCGATCTATACATATCTATCCATACATACTGATCTATATATACCTAACTATACATACTGATCTATACATATCGATCTAAACATAACGATCTATACATATCGATTTACACATATTGATCTATACAGATCAATCCTCAAAGATCTATACATAGCTACCTATACATAACGATCTATACTACATATTAATCTATACAGATCAATCCATACATAACGATCTATACAAATCGATTTATACATATCTATCCATACATATTGATCTATATATACCTAACTATACATACTGATCTATACATATCGATCTAAACATAACGATCTATTCATATCGATCTACACACATTGATCTATACAGATCGATCCATAACGATCTCTACAAATCGATCTATGCATATCTACTTATACATACCGATCTATACTACATATTGATCTATACATATTGATCCAAACATAACGATCTATACATATCGATTTACACATATATAGCTATAGCTACCTTACATACCGATCTATACTACATATTGATCTATACAAATCGATCTATACATATCTATCCATACATACTGATCTATACATATCGATCTATACATAACAATCTATATACTATCAGGTATGTGAAGGTATGCTGAAGGGCTGTTGAGCTAACTAATCTGAAGTAGTGGTATTATAAAGTCGTTGCCAGCCTTGTGTAGTGCGCACGCGCCCATCTCTAACAGTTTGAGCGACATATTGCCGTTGTCTTAAACGCTTTTTTAGTGACGCTCGAGTTGTTGCTGTGCGTAAAACTTGTTGCTGTTTGCGGCTATAGTTGTTGTACTATTTATTATTTACTGTTGTTTTTAGTTATTATTGTTATTGTTGTTGTTGTTGTTGTAGTGTGGCGACAGCAACTTCTTGAACGGCATTTTCTAAATTGAGGCACGCCTGTGCCATACCTTCTGCCCCGGGTCTGTGAGCGAAAGTCAAAGGCCAACACCGAGGGCGGCAATTTCAACAGTAGAATGACTGTGTAGAAAGTGAAAGAGCTTCTGGAAGAAAACAAAAATAAAAACAAAACCAAAAAACCAGCAACTACAAATAAAAAAAAAAAACTATAACGGTTAGACAACTCCAGATGCTAGAGATTGGGACTTGCTCGCTCTAACTGGGCCGACGCAACGACCGACGCTGGACACGGACAAGTCCAACCTGTCTCTGGTCATTGGAGGTCAGGCATCCTGCGAGTGAGGCCCAAGTCGAAGCCCCAAACTGTCATTCTGTATGCCTGGTGTTTATTGCGCGAGTCAAGTTTCTGGGATGCGTATAAAATCTGATGTGAGAGAGAGAGAGAAAATAAATAAAATGAAGTAGAGCTCGCATCAAGCACCGTGCGGAAAGTGCAAGCCATGCCACTGGTGCAGCTAATAAAAGAAGTGCTCAAACAGTGGGGACAGGCGATTGCTAAGTGGTTACTTTCTTGACTCACAGTGTTACGTGTTCACATAGTTCAATTTCTATTTCAATTGCAAGATCCAAGTGCCTGAAGTCTGAGGTACTTGAGTTTATTCACATATTAAATATTTTTGCTTTATCACATTGTTCAGTTTCAATATCATATATATATATATTCTTTATACTAATCAGCTTTGCGCTTTTCCATTCCTTGATGGAGACAGGTGAAGTTAGCTGTACCTGTAACAACATTAAGTTGGCTGCGCTCGACTCATTCGCTTTTGACTGAATGCATTTGCATTCGCTTCATGTTATAACATCCTGATTGATTATACATATAGATTTACAAATAATCTCCGACATTTTACTGAGCTGTATTTAGAGTAGAGAAAACCAAAAACAATTTGATAACAGGAATTACTTAAGATGCCTCCCAAATTTTGTTGTCTATTCCAACGGGTTAACGCCCCATTTTATGCATGAATAGCTTGCTTGAAAACACTCCGATTAGATGAATAGGCAATAAATTGACAATATATTAGATATTAGATTTGACGGCCCTAATGTGCTAGTGTAATTATATATGTATATTCTACGACATGTCAAGTCTCTGTATATAATATCGAATTAATAAGTAGTTTGAAAACTTTAGTAATGGCTTCATATGATTTGTCGAATTTTGTTTGAATAATGATATGAATAATATACTTATACTTACACTTACATATACTTATATTTAGAGTATCGTTTTTGCCCTCACTTTTGCACCACTGTGCAGTGCAATTGTTGATTCTCATCTATGATTAGATTGACAATTTGCAATGCTTCGATGAATCGACGCAGGGCAACTGACGACAGCTACGGCAAAGCAGCCAGAACATTGGCTAGGAGAAAAGAGATGGTGAAGGTGAAGGTGAAGGAGATGACAGAGAAGGCAGCGGCAGCGGCAGCGGCAGCAGCAGCGCTGGCGACAACGCACGCCGCACTCCGGTAAGCGACATCTTCACTCAGACGTTACGGGCAAACGTTCAAGCAGCCGAAACTCGCATAGTATGTGGGGGCATTTGAGTTTCTCCTTTTGGCGGCGGGTCGGTGGATGTTGTTGGTTTTGGTTTTGGGTCTTTGGCTGGGTCGTTTTGTTCATTTGTAAACGAGACTCGCAGCCAAACGGTCGCGCACGCGTTAATTCCAAGAATCTCTGGACGAGCATAATCCAGTTGCCTCGTTAGCCTCGCTGCCTCTATACATAAATACATATATACATATATATTCGCATATATATATATATATATTTATATAAGCTATATAAATAGCTAGACATACATATATAATGCCTGCCTTTCATATAGTCGTAAAGCTGCTAATGCTGCGCCTATTGCTGGCCAGTTTGTCGGGTCTGTCGGGTTTGTCGGACTTATCGTGCGCCGCATACGACTTTGGCTATCATCCCAGCGCCGAGGAGTTCGATAGCCTCTTGCGCGAGACACGCAGCTGGACGCGCGATCTGCTGGCCAGCGAGCGACGACGCGAGAGCTTTGTGCCGCGCTACAACTATCCAGAGCAGCCACACAAGCAACACCTGCAGCAGCAACAGCATCAGCAGCAGCAACAGCAGCAGCAGGAGCAGCAACAGCAGGAGCAAGAGCAGCAGGAGCAGCAACAGCAGGAGCTGGATTTTCAGCTGTTCAGCGATGATCAGAACTTGCAGCAGCCGTATGTCTATGAAACGGTAGCATCTTTGGAGCAGCAGCAACAGCAGCAACATCTGCACCAGCAACATCTGCAACAGCAACATCTGCAAAAGCAACACCTGCAACAGCAACATCTGCAACAGCAGCAGCATCTGCAACATCAGCAACATCAACAAAATCCGCAACAGCAGCAACATCAGCAACATCAACAAAATCCGCAACAGCAGCAACATCTGCAACAACAGCAACATCTGCAACAGCAGCAACATCGGCTGCCACTACCCGACTCGGTCTATGGACCGGCGCAGCATGTGCAGAGCGGACTCATTGAGATCACTGATAATCTAGCAGCAGCAACAGCAACAAGAAACACCACCAGCAACAGCAGCAGCAGCAGCAGCAACAGCAATTTCCCAATATTCTTTACCAATCCCGCCACCGGCATTGTCTATGCCATTAGCGAGGTGGGCCGCAACACCAAGTCGCAGCCCTGGCCCAGCAATGGCAGCGACAGCGACGGCATTGATATCTATGTGACCAAGGCGCAGTATGACGCCGACTTGGAAGCGCTGCGCCGGCGGTACGAGCAGCAATGCTCGCTGAAGGCCGCCACCGTCGGCGGAGCCGCAGCGCACTCGGTGCTGTCGACGCCCAGCCTGAGGCCGACGGCGCGCACGAGCACCGCCCGGCCGCAGATCATACGGCTGCAGAAGCCCAAGAAGACGACGACGCCGAGCGCCAGCACAGCGGCCGGCCACAACAAGCTGCTGCACAAGCCGCCGCCCATTATGGTGGCCAGCGGTGCGGCGGGCAGCGTGAGCGATCAGCTGCTGAAGCTGCCGACGGCGACGACGACGACGGCGGCGCCTCCGCGCACGCAGAAGCCGAAGCGCAACAGGCGCAAGAAGAAGAAGAAGCGGAAGACAGTGAAGCGACGGCCGGGCCAAAGGCCGCCAGCCGCGACAACAGCCGGGCCGCTAATTGTCCTGGGCAAACGGACGACGACGAGCGTCCGGCCGCCCACAGCTGGGCATACGGCCACGCAGCTGGAGAAGCCGCACATGCCGAGGCCCACGAGTGCAGCGAGCGGAGGCGGCGGCACCGTCTTCAGTGATCAGCCCTTTGTGGTGTCCAGTGGGTTTATCGAAGTGCCGCATCGGGTGAGGCGTCGCTCGCTGGATGCGCTGCCCGGCAGCTCGGCGGGCGCTCGACCCATCAGCAGCGGGCGAGGGGGCGGCCGGCGGCGCAGCTCCAGCAAGAGCGGAAGGCGGCCCGTCCAGAAGCCGCAACGCGCCACGCCCAAGCGGCAGGAGAACTCGCCAGCGGGCGACAGTGGCTATCGGGTGCCCCATGCGGTGCATCTGCTGCACGCCAGGCACAATGGCAGCGACAAGGCCGAGGGCGAGGGCAAGGGCAAGGGCAAGGGCAGGAAAGGCGGCAGCGGCGAGGATGACTTTGATTTGCTGGAGCTCATAGCTGGCGATGATTATGATGATGACAACGATGAGCACTACTTCGAGGAGGAGGAGGAGGGGCAGGGGGAGCAGGGGGAGCAGGCAACGCATGTGAAGCGCCACAGCAGCAGCAGCGGCAGCAGCAGCAGCAAGCAGAGGCCGTCGCAGGAGAACAGCAGCTCGGCGGAGGAGGGCGCGGATTTCGGTGCAATGGTCGAGGAGCTGCCAAGTGTGATAGTGATCAACAACAACAACAACAATAACAGTAGCAGCAGCAGCACCACCAGCTCAACCACCAGCAGCACCGCTCAGCCAGCCACAGCTGAGTCCGTGACCAGCTCCGAGGAGGAGAAGCAGGAGTCGACCGAGAGCGAGGAGACGCAATCTTCGACCAAGAACAGTTTGAGCAAAAAGCGCATCAGACGACGTCCGCCTGGCGAGAGCCACAATTCCGATGAATACTACGACGAGGAGAAAGACGATAATGATAACGATGATGATGATGAAGATGAGGAGGAGGAGGAGGGCGATTCGGACACTGGCATCGGCAGCTTCTTTCGCATGATCTTCTATCCCGTGCAAGTGGCGATGGCGCGCATCTTTGATGGCTTTGGCGGCCAGTCCGAGGAGGAGAACACGGAGGTCAGCACCAAGCCGAAATACCCCAGCTACACGCTCTACCACAGCGCGCACAGCAGCAAGGGCGACGCTGGTAGTGCAGAGGAGGAGGACGATGATGATGATGACGATGATGGCGGCTCGCTAAGCAGCTGGTTCGGCTCCTGGTTCGGGCTGAGGCGACGCACCAAAAAGATTGGCAGCACCACGGCAATGCCAGTGGCGTCACTGCCTCTGCCGACGCCAGCGCCAGCCACAACCACTGAGCCACCCGGCTGGCTGGAGTCGTGGTTCGGCTTCGGCAAGGCCACAACGGAATCCTCTAGCGAGGAGTCGGACTATGACAGTGAGTAGCAAAAGTATGAGACTTTACACTGATTGACAGCCTGTAGATAACAGGCGAGGGCAGTTTGACAAGTTCCCTAGCTCCCTAGAAATTATGCAAATTTATTCATTTCGCATTTTAGTAGAACTGAGAGTGCCTTGAGAAATGTGGGAGATCAAAGATAGAAGAAATATAAATTTAGATAAACTAATTGTATTCTCTATGTAGTCTTATTACATATCTTAATGCATATTTCTTTAAAGACATATATGAGCATTTCCCCAGAAAATTCAACGTTTTGTAGTGTGCGAATCCCTAATTTCTAATTATCTTCAAAACACACCATTTATAGTGATAATTTAGAGCTACAGTGTAAGATTCACTATTTGTCACAATGAAAAAACATTTTTCCCATTTGTTTAGCACGATAATGGGCGCATTTTCAAGACACATATTTACAAATAAAGGGGTTAGCGTGCTACAACAAGTAGAAATTTCTGGGGAAATACCCATTTTTCATTTTCATATAAGCAACAAAAAATTTGATTTTCCTTCTTTTAAATTACAAAACTTATCTCGACGAGAGTAATTTGGAAATTGTCCGATATTAAATTAATCTCGATTCGATTTGAATAAAAAAATACATATTTTGTTTTTTTTTTTTTCATTTTTTTCATTAGAGGTGGTACAAAATTTCCGAAATGTATAGAAATTTATCAATCTACACAACATGCAAATCAATTGCTTATATTTATGTATGTATAATATATTGAGGGAATTAATGAATATATAATATATTTATATGATTTGATTGATTAAGATACACAATTTTTCAAGCTACTCTTGCAATTCGATTTTTGTATCCAGAACATATTGAAAACAGGCTAAAATGGTTTGGTATTATTATAAATATTTGTGGATAACAATTTAGAGATCCAATAGAACATGTACTCTTGGGTACTCTTCATTAAAAGGCCTTGCATGAGCTTTTGTGGAGAGATTTGTTACAGGAGCGTTTGCTATCAGACGAGATCTTCAGTTCTCTGTTCTTGGTACTTTGCTTTTGTTCTTTTTGCTTCATGCTCGTCGAATATATTTCTGAATGTAAAACCATATAGAGCCAAAGTACTTAAATCCACTTAACAATTCGTTTGTTAATTATATTTTTAGTACTAATCATTAAAAATAAAGTTGAATAGAGGAAAATTTAATGATTTAAAAAGGTTCCTTACTCTACTTAAAGAGCGTCCAATACCTTTTTGGAGAAAGACTTCCTAACTCACACGAAGAGAACGCAGACTCTGCTCTGCAAAAGCTGAACTCTTACAATTCTCCAATGGGCATAGCAATAGTAGCAAGCCGATACTCTCAATACTACAGATGATCCTTCTAATACAGACGTCAGCAATCATATATACCCGAAATAAAGTTGGATAAGAAGACATACAATAATGCATATTCTCGTCAATTGGCTGTATTGAAGTTACTTGAGCACACCTCGCTGATTGAGGTGATGGCCGGCCCACTGACCTGCTCTCAGATCTAACGGCAATCTAGACGATCGCCCAGAAGCTTCTGGCTCGATTGCTCAGCGAGTGCTCATTGGGTCGATTCACGCTTTCTGCACAGTCTGAAAACGATTTGAATGCTTTTGGCCCGCTTAGTGCGTCTGATATCTAATAGCTCTATATATATGTACATATATATATATCTCTCTCTGTCTATCCATCGTTTGCTCAGTTAGTCAGTCAGTAAAATTGATGTGAGTTTTCCACTTGCTAAACTTGCAGAGTGGTTTGCCGGCTGGTTTGATCCGACGCCGAAGCCAAAGACGCGTCGCCGCAAAACGACAACGAGCACAACAACAACAACAACATCGACGACGACAACGACGCTACCCACACCCCAAGTGCCGATCCTGACGATTGTGGATCCGTTGCGTAATCCACAGAACTGGATTGGCATTCTGGCGCATCACATTGTGAATGCCACGGCTGGTGGCGCGGGTGGAGCGGGTGGCGGTGCAGCTGTTGTCTCGAGCACCACCAAGAATCCGCTGCTGCAGGCGCTGGTCACCCGTGTGACCAGCACGACGACGGCTCAGCCGGAGCTGCCGCGTCGCATCAGCTACGACAAGTATCAGATATGGCGACTGAAGCCGCAGGATGAGCCTCAGGTACGGGCACTGGAGCAGTTCAAGAAGGGCGAAGATGGCAACAAGCTGCAGTGGCTCAAGGGACCCAGTCTCAGGTATGATCCAGAGCAAAGATTGCAAAGTTGATGTTTGCTATTCTTAAAACATTCCTGCAGAGGCCTCACCGACGTCCTGGTGCCGCCCAAGATGCTGGTGGACTTTCAGGGCACGCTTAACTTTGAGGGCATTGCCCACGAGGTGCTCATCTTTGATGTGGGCAAGGCGATCGCCTACGAGCGCCACAAGGAGGAGTATCTGTACACGACCCCAGCGGCGACCAGGCGACCCACCAAGCAGCCAAGCGCACCACCGCCCATGACCTGGAACAGGTACTACGAGTACGACGACATACTGCACTACCTGGAGACGTTGCGCATGCGTCACACCCAGCTGATTGAGCTGATTCACATCGGACGCTCCTTCGAAGGCCGTCCCCTGATCGTGGTCAAGATCGAGTCGAAGCAAGTCGCCGCCGCAGCGACGGCTGCAGCCGCATCCAGCCACAAGCGCCTGAGGCACAAACATCGCTCCGGCCGGGCCAATGCGGTGTTCATTGAGGCCGGTGCTCACGGCTTGGCCTGGATTGGACCCGCCACAGCCACCTGGATGATCAGCGAGCTGGTGCGCCTGATGCGCACGAACAGTGAGTAAATAGGGGCGCGACTAGAGTTAAGCTATATAAATAAGCAGCCCAAGATCTAAAGATCTGTGAATCAAGAAGAAAGACTTTAAAGGTGCCGTCCAATGAAATTGATTGCAAAAGAAAGATCAAAGTTATCTAAACATGAATGGTTTCCCATTAAGGGATAGAGCATATAATCATATAGATGTGGCAGTTACAGATTTGCCAAGTAGGATGATATATGTATTACCTATGGAATAACTTACTTGTTAAACCAAGGAAGTCATATGTAGATAGCTTTCGGTCTTTCAAGCGCAACTTCCTTAGTTTAACAATAATATCTGTTTCTATATTATATCTACGTATCCCTGCATCTAGTTAAAAATATAGTAATTTCCACGTATCGTCATCATATCCTGATCATCTGCACAAGGTTAGTCTAATAGACCCTCTACATGGATGTCTGCTCTTTGATAACCCTAAGCTCAATTTTGTTTAGGAAACGGAAAAGACTATTAGACTCCCTTCAATGTCAGCTCTTTGATAAGCCTACGTTTTTATCTTTTAGCATGCAAAAGGCTAGTTCAAGTCTGATATAAGTAAATTTGGGCTAAGATCCCTACCATTGCCAACGATTGGGACTTAAGCCGTACCCATATCCATAAATTGAATTGACTACTACCCATATCTATTATATCTAAAGTATCCCAATAAGTCCCACCTCTCTCGCAATCAAACCGTAATTTCGGTTAGGCAATTATAAACACAATTTTGTGATTGTTTTCTGCTGTATTGGCTTGATTCATATTGTTTGTGGTTAGGTTCTGAATTTGACACGTTCAATTTGGAAGCGGTGAATGGTTAGTCCGTCAGCGTCGACAGAAGAACCCGTTGACGCTCTCGCGCAGCCAGATGAGCCACGTGGGCGGCTGCTTCATTTCGGTTAGGATGGCACTCCGGCGGGATCGGTCGAAGATCTTGCGGCCCTGGCAATCGGAATATCTCTGCTTGAACGATCGGCTGCAGGTGGACTTTTTGTTGGACTGGGCGCAGCACGGGGTCTTTGGCTTCGCATGCGGCGGATGAGGATGCGGTTTCGGCAGAGTGGTTGGCCTACATTTGCTGAGAGCTCGTTTCTTGGGGAGCAGCGACGGCTTGCAGCTGGTCGATGGGCCGCCCTTCATGATGGCATCGCTCGCCTTGGCATGGCAGCATCCGTGGCTGTGGGTGAACACCGTTATGGCAAATGCAAATACCAGCAGCACGAACACAGTGCCCATGGCCACGTGCACGTTGCGATCGGCGTTAATCAGATCCACCACCAGCTGAACGATGTAGTAGCCCAGGGTTATCCAAAATGTGAACGTGCAGATAGCAAAGAAGCTGCCGRGCAGAACAAATTGATTAGAATTGATTGATTGGCCGAGTTAGGATCTACTCTGAAATCGAGAATATTCATCATCTGTTCATCACAAGGTACCATATAGACTTTGGTAATCAAGGGACCTGCCTAACTGGAACCGCAAAAAGAAAATCCCGTTTAACCCGATCTTAAAGGAATGGGATGATGGAGAAAAAACGAATTGAAATAAAGTTATGGATGGATGAATAGAGAGTCTAATATGCCAACATCTGGGATTTGCATGGACAGATGGACAGACAGATGTAGAGGCAGCCGTAGGGATACGCAGACAGATAAACGAAGAGGTTAGCAGATGCAGAAGTGAACAATTAGATATCTGATGAGGAATATGTATTTCCAACCACGTCCACATCCACCAGACAAATGTAGAGGCAGACAGACAAACGGAGGGGTAAGCAGATGCAGAAGTGGACATGGATCAATTAGATAACTGATCAGGAGTATGCATTCCCAACCACGTCTTCATCTGTGGACTAGCTGCACAGATGGTTCCTTATGGGATTTCTAGGCACATCAGCAGAGCTAGTTGCACTACTTACACCAGTATGCCCAGCATTTCAATCAGGAAGGTCACAGCCGCATTGACATACTCATTGTCGCACACATGCACGCCCTTGGAGATGTCCTTGCGGGAGTGCTTGCAGGACATGGCACAATCGTTGTTGAGTCCGCAGTTTTCGTTGCAGTAGGTATGATCTATGCAGACGGTGCGACCGCTGGCATTTAGCAGGCCCTCGTTTCCCTGCAGATGAATGGGCAGGCCGAATGTGTCGCGTCCGTGCATTAGGCTTGGGTCCACATTGACAAATGGGAGGTTGATGCTGCAACCGGATCTCTTCGGGATGTCCACACGGGGCGTGCCCTCGGTCACGCTCGACTTGCGACTGTAATCCATGCCGCCAAATGCGACAGCGGGCAGACCTCCATGGCTCGAGCCGGGCTGCTTATATTCCCAATAGTCGGACTGGTGGCCGTGGCCCATCCCATAGTTGTGCTCACCACAGTGGCAGTCGCTTTGGTTACTCCCCGCATGCGATGCTGAATCCACTGACCATTCGTTGCTAAACAATTGCATGTCATGGACTCTACAAATGCTGCATTGGGCCGCTTGATTCGAGCCCTTACTTAGCAGCAGCGCCTTCGCCTTCTCCTTGCACTTCCTGCATGGACAGGGCGAGGACTGCGATCCCTGCCGATTCTGTAGCGAGCCAGACCCGCCACACGTTGGCCCAGAGCAATGGCACTTGCCTGACATTGCGCGGCACTAGCCAAGAGTTCACCCAATCGAGTGAATATTTTGAAAACAAATTTTGCCCAAAGACTAGCACTGACAGATTCAAACTATACTAACTAAGCTGACTGCCTGACCTACATACCCACTTGGATCGAGCCGAATATGCTACTAAAATTTCTTTTCAACATTTTCCTTTCTTTCTGTCGAAAAAAAAGGGGGAAAATATACAACAAACAATCGATAATTATCGACTAGATACTTACATATGTATGTATGTATGTACATATATAAAATATATACATACATTTTAAGTTAATTAACTCCATGTTCAATAAATGACAACTTATCGATTTTTATCGATTTAGCTATAGCCAAGATTTGGGCAATTAGGGCACATAGCACTGTATATAGAAACAAGTAACCCACTATGAAATTAATAGATGACCATACATATATCGTTAAGTCGCTTTTCTATTCACTGACATTATAATCGATAAAAATCGATTGGTACCTGTTATTGGTAGACCATTAATACTCATCAGCTACAAATGAATAAATCGCAATTGCAATAAAACTCGACATTCGCTGCAAAAGAGATCGATAAAAATCGACAAAATGTTATAATCGACTATTTTTCGAATTTTTAAGAGAATAATCTTGTTTTTTAGAAACCGACGAGGATCACGAGTTTATACGCAACACGACGTGGTATATAATGCCCGTGCTGAATCCGGACGGGTATGTGTATAGCCATGAGTACGATCGCTTCTGGAAGAAATCCCGTTCACAGCATGTGGCCAAGGCACCCGCTGGACTGCTCGACTCGGCGATGACGTGGCTGCAGCAGAAGCGTCCAGGCGATAAGATTTGCTATGGCGTCGACTTAGATCGCAATTGGCTGTATCACTGGGGCAAGCGGGGCAGCTCAAAGGCGCCATGCAATGAGTTCTATGCGGGTCCGTCGCCCTTCTCGGAGCCGGAAACCAAAGCTCTGTCTGACTTCCTAATGGACTATCGCAAACAGATCAAGGTAAGGTATCAGGGGCGTCTAAACTTGGATGGGATTATTTACAATATAAAATTTGCCCCTCCAGCTGTATATATCGCTGCAGGCCTACGGCCAGGTGTTGTCGTATCCGGTCAAGGCCAATTCGACCTTCAACTCGGAGCGCATGGATGACTTCCTGGACGTGGCGATGGTGGGCACGGATGTGCTGCGACGCAGGGGCAGCAAGGCGCGCTACAAGGTGGACTCGGCCAACGATTTGATTGAGCAGCGTTCGGGTATGTGAGCGCCGAAGATGTAAATCCAAATAGTTGCCCAATCTCTGTCTTCCCCTAGGATGTGCGGATGCCTTTGCAGCCTACGAGATCGGCATACCCTTTAGCTACACACTCCAGCTGGCGGATAATGGGGTCCATGGCTATCTGTTGCCCAGCGGCGCCATTGAGAGCACAGCGCGCGACGCCTTTGAGATAGTTAGCGCGATGCTGGATTACATCTGAGACGATGCGGTGGGGTTGTTGGAGGAGGATGCGAATGTCAACGATTAGTTCCTTTTCGACTGCGATTTGGCTATGGATACGGATTCGCATTCCTGCGCTTACAATATTAAGGACGAAACCAACGCTATATATTATATATATATGTATATGTATATATGAGTACAATATATATATATTCATACTCAATATGTTAAACAATTCAATATCTTATA